AAAAAAAAAAAAAAAAAGAATTTTCAAAATGAATAAAATATTATCACAAAGTACCCCCCCCAAAACACACAAAAACTTCCAATAGTGTGCTTTAATCATTTTTGACAACAAACTATTATCAAAGAGTAATTACATAGGTTTATGTAAGAATTTGAGTAGGGTAATTCTCCCCTCATTGTTATCAAACAAGGGTGAAAACAGATGCTTAGCATCTCTATTGGACTGGGTAGATCAAAACTAGAAAATAAGTTCCCAGGGCCGCCCCTGTGGCTCCGTGGGCAGGGCGCCGGCCCCATATACCGAGGGTGGAGAGTTCAAACCCGACCCCCGGCCAAACTGCAGCAAAAAAATAGCCCGGCGTTGTGGTGGGCGCCTGTAGTCCCAGCTACTCGGCGGGAGGCTGAGGCAAGAAAGCCCAGGAGTTGGAGGTTGCTGTGAGCTGTGAGGCCACAGCACTCTACCAAGGGCAAGAATGTGAGACTCTGTCTCTAAAAAAAAAAAATTCCCAACTTGGCCAAAATGTTAAGTTGTTGAAGGTTAGGCAGAGCCTGCCCTTTTCCACAGATGTTGAAAGACAGAAACTGACATGCCCTAAAAAGAAGCCCTGTGGAAAAGGAAGAGGAATGGAATACGCTCCGGTTCAAGAAAATCTGAGCTCATGGGAGAAAGCTATCGGGAAAGAGAACTGCAATCGAAGAATCCACGGTTCTTTCTGTATTGCACGGCCCCCTACCCCCGTGGCCAGCTGTGCAAACAACTGGCCAACAAGAGGATGCACCGCCTTATTGCTTTTGTTCAGTACTGCTCTTGTTCAGATCACGGAGTTCATTGATATTCTGCAAGTTACTGGCCAGAGAGTACCCCCCCAATCATAAATTTCCCCCAGTCTCACACCAAAGTTCTTTCTCCAAGAGGGGACGATTTGGAGCAGTCTCAGCTTGTTGGGATAGCCTCGGCCCCGCTCCATGCCGCCCCCTTGTGGTCACTTCCGTGGCCTCGGCTTCCCCAGGTCCAGCTACCCGGTCCCAGGTCTTACACCCACCCTTTCTTCACCTTCCAGTCCCCTCCCCTTCCTCCCGGGAGCATCCCCTTCCTCTTCGTCCCTCTCCCCAGCTGTCCCAGCTCCGGTGAGGGGGAGCCGCTCGGTCTGCACTAAGAAATCCAGGGCTGGGTTAGGAAGTGCTGCGACTTGTCACCGCACTATCTGTTCCAGCCCTGACGCTCCCCAGGGTCCACGCGACTCTTTTCCCCCCTCACCTCCTCCTCTGGGACGCTGCCGGCTGCGCTTCCACCGACCCCGCCAGTTTGGTCTCCTTTCCTTTCCTGGTTAAGACTCCCTGTCAATGACAGTTACTTTGGGGCCTTTTCATATATGCATATTTTGGGGACCTTTAACCCCCCCTCGTGGAGAAATTGAGGTAACAAAATGGCGGACCCGGAAGTGAATGAGCAGCAAGTATGATTTTTGGCGGAGGAATCTGTAGAGGAAAAATTATTAGAAAGCCCACACTGCCATTCGAGCAAAAAGATGAGGCACCTCTGAGACTCACTTCCTGTCTATCAAAGGACTTCTGAAGTGGAAAATGTGTACCCGGGACATCATAGGCAGGACTATTTAACGAGGCGGAGGATTACTGATTATGTGTCTGACGTCTCCTAGTTCCGGAAGGGGACGGACCCCAAGGGTTGTTTTGGGCGCCAGTAAGCCGACCAGCCACTGAGGGGAGGTCAGAGTATGCTTCAGTCCCAAAGTTTGTGTCCTACCTCTTGGCTGCTTCTCCTGGTGGAACCAGGCTTAGGACTGACAGGATAGCCTTGCTTCCTCGCCCTTAGGACGGTCTGCCTTCGTACAGGATTGGGCTCTGGTGCCTGATGGACACGTATTTCCAGTCAGAGGTTCCCAGAGCCAAGCTGTCAGTGCACGCGGGGCAGGCTGGGGGGATCCTAGAATAGGATTGAGCAGGAGTTTATAAATCCGATTAGTCGCTTCACTTAACCAGTTGATCCTCGTCTCCATACACCATTTGCCACGACTAAAGAACTCGGAGAAATCCGGTCTTTATAGCGGGGCATAGGAGGTCTAGGAGAACTTACCCTTCTCCCCCTGCTCTCAACTACTCTAGAGCCTGTCCTGTTCGCGTCATCTTCACAGCGTTTTCAGCACAGTGCCCAGTGCCGTCCATACTGGAACTTGTGGATTCCCTTTTTGTGCGTCAGAATCTCGTCTCATTCCTGTTTACCTACTCTTACTTGTCCAAATAAGCACACAAAAAACGACTTGGAAATTAGTTTCAAGTCGTTTTGTGGAATTAGGTGAGCTAAATAAATATTTGTGTGAATTAGTTTCTTAGGCATCTAAGAGAATTATTACCTGAAATATAATGCTGATAATGAATGGGGCCAAAGAGTGATTGTACCTTTAACTACTTTTCTAATTTTAACTTGATTTCACCCTTTTCCTTATTACCTGTTAATGTGGAGTTCACTTTTTTTTTCGAGACAGTCTCACTCTGTCACTCTAGGTAGAGTGCTGTGGCATCATAGCTTATAGCAACCTCAAACTTTTGGGCTCAAGTTATCCTCTCGGCTCAGCCTCCTGAGTAGCTGGGACTACAGGCACCCACCACAATGCCTCACTATTTTTTTTTTTTTCTTCAGTAGAGCCGGAGTCTTGAACTCCTGAGCTCAAGTGATCCACCTGCCTTACCCTCCCATGATCCTGGGATTACAGGTGTGAATCACCACACTTGGCCTGGAAGTTTACCATGTAATGTATAAATGCTATTCATCAAATCATTTTTCCTTAAAGTTCAGTATTAGAATGACAAAATGTATAAGCTGAATGTGAAACCAGGCTACTTAATTTCTGAGATTGACACTGCTTCCCTGTGAAGAAAAAGAAAACTAGAATCCAGTCCTGGGATTTAATGTCTTTATTACGTAAATGAGTAAATGGCAGAACAAATCAGCAATAATTTTGGAAGGAGTGGAGACAAGGTGTAAGGTCAGAACGTTAATTGTTCATTTCATGGTCGCAGTGTATCGGACGAACTGTGCCCAAGGCCCATTGATTGGTATTATATATTGCAAGAGGGCAAGACTAAAATACTAAGGGCCAAACCCTGTGCCTTTTAGAAAATATTCAAAACCTTACAGGTTATTAATGGTCAGCAAGATTGTATCTTAAGATTCAATATCTAATTTTCCTCAGTTTTCAACTCACAGCTGCAAATTTGTAAAGTTGAAGAAGGAACATCTTTTTGAGAAAAATAACTTAGCTATTCTTGAAATTATTCAATGTTTTACCCTATTTTCATATCCCATAATATATTATTTCCTTTTGTTTTATACTCTTAACTGCCCCCAATTTCTCTGAGAAAAAGAACACCAGAGGCTCGGCGCCTGTAGCACAGTGGTTACCAAACTGGCCAGGGCCAACTAAACAACAATGACAACTGCAACAAAAAATGGCCAGGCATTGTGGTGGGTGCCTGTAATCCCAGCTACTTGGGAGGCTGAGGCAAGAGAACTGCTTAAGCCCAAGAGTTTGAGGTTGCTGTGAGCTGTGACACCATGGCACTCTACTGAGGGTGACATAGTGAGCCTCTGTCTCAAAAAAAAAAAAGAACACCAGAGTCCTTAGGCTTTTAGAAATCCTGTTTTGTAGCAGATCAACTGGAGTTAATATTTAGGGGGAAAAGGAAGAATCCCTGTGACCCCATACACCATTGCTTGAACCCCTTGTGGCATGAGGGTTTTTGAGAAATATGGAGTAGACAAATAAATAAATAAATAAATACAACCTAACTCTGGCAGATTCATCAGCACCAACACAATAGAAAGAGAACAAGATTAAAGTGGAAAAGGGTAGAAAGGAAGGAGTTTGAAAGGGAAGACAATAAGGGTAAGGTGATGAGAGAGGGAAGTCTTCGCCTTAGAGCAAATCCAATTCAAAGGAGTGGATGCTGGCAATGGGAGCTCTCCAGAAGTTGAAAGTGCTGTACTCAAGAAGGTCATCACCTTCCAGGTTTTTCTCCTGCTCTGCTGCAGTTGCTTGCCCGGTCATTTTCCCCACGCTGTTGTCCTTGATCTTGTAGGTGGAGGTATCTGACAGACCCAGGCCTTCTAGCTCTGATAGATCCAGTTCTGGGATGGGCATCCTCCAGAAAAGAAAGGAGCTGTATTGGCTACTCACAGGGTCCCTCATAGCTTCCTGGAAAGAAACCACTTGTCAGTCCTCATGCTATAGCAACTTGTTTGTGGCCTGGGACCTTTCCTTGCTTAGAAACACCACATCCTCATAATTCCCTTTTGCTAGGACAAGCTTCCAGAACCCCGCCTTTAGTTTCTACCATTTCCTAACTTTTCGTCTTGGAATGATTTTTTTTTTTTTTTTTTTGGTGGGACAGGGTCTTGTCCTCTAGACTAGAGAAAATTATGCGATCATAGCTCACCTCTCAACTTCCACTTTCAGGCCCAAATCATCCTCCTCAGCATCCCAAGTAACTAGGACTATAGGTACATGCCACTGTACTCAACTAATTTTCTTATTTTTTTTTGTCATGGCGGGACCCCACTATGTTGTCCAGGTTGGTCTAAACTCCTGGTCTCAAGTGATCCTCCAGCTTCCACCTCCTGCAGTGGCAATAAGGATGAGCTACTGTGCCCAGGATGAGCTACTGTCTATTGCATCAAATTGATCTTGGGTCTGATTTTCAAGGCTTTCCAAAATCTTGCCCACTCTTTCTAGCAGTTGTACAGCCTCGGTTACAGTTACGTTCATTCCTGTGTTGCTTAACTCTCTCCATTCTCTACCTTAAAATACTTCTCAAGTTTCAAGATTCTATTCAAGTCCCTAGAGAATCCCCTCTTCTCAAATTCTTTTTTTTTTTTTTTTTTTTTT